ATTAGAATGTTTATGAAACTCTAAGGCGAGCGTGTGCTTATATAAGGCCGTGATTATTATGTGACTTTATCGTTTTATTTCAAATCTTTTTCCTCAACTGTACGAGGAAATCTCTCTGCTCAATTGAGAAAAATTCCCTCTTTTAACATGTATAAATAAACACCATATCACACTAAGTAGCTATAGATTATATTCTAAGCAAACTTAAGCAATAGATATCTCGTTCGAGGTAGTATATTGCGTACACATTGAGTTGCTTAAGCTTCAGAATTATATATGAACTGATCATATGTTATGCCTTCACGTTGACTGAATTTGTGCCACAGTGCACTAATCAATAGGATGTCCCAATAGAAACTTTAGACGATAGTTCTTAATGAATGCTAATCTTCTCCCAAATCTTCGTATAGAAATCTGAATAATTTATGTTATTGATATTGTGAATTTTTCTGAATGCTCAGAGACTTGTAATGAATGCTAATCTTCTATCAAATTACTTTGAATCTCTAATATCTGAATTATTTAAAGGCTATATTATTCATAAACATAATCAGCAGGCACCAACATAATTACCCAATGGCTTTGCCCCCTCTTCCATTTCATTGTGGATTTAATAAGGGTGAAGAAGGCAATAAGAATCTCATTAGGGATTCCTAACTAGTTCAAATATAGATGCAAACCCACACACTACATACATTAATAACATGTTGAACAATCTATTAAACACACCAACAGGGGGCAACACAGACATAAAAAGAGATAAAAATAAAACAATCAAGAAATGATGCTGACAAACATATATATCACTAACATATGTGGAACACAATACACATGCAGATGCACCACTCGATCCAAACCCAGCAAGGTGTTTGTTGTTGTCACTGTGCTGTGATGGAGGAGGAATCTTCAGCTTCTGTTCTTGCATTTCTCCATGGCTCTTGGGGCTGCAATTAGGAGAGCGAAGCATTATGCTTTTCCGAAGAACGTACAAAGATATGCATTCATCAAATTTTGATGATGGAGAATGATAGCTAACATCCATGTCAAGTTGACGATTGATGAACAAGAAGATACTCACCGAGTCCAATGGCTTCTGATCCCTTCATTATCCTCAGACGCTTGCAGGAGTCAACAAACATCCTGGACCAAGTTGAAATGGAGTCAGTGATGCAAGTTTGTAAGAACAACTGAAACAGGAATGATCACAAAGATTTCAATGGCCTGCAGTTCCCTCGACAACATAGAAACGTACTCCCATGGAACATCTCCGACGAGCATCCAGTCGCCATCCTTGTCTTCGTAGGTTGGCACATACTCAGATCCATTCAGAAGATCCATCACCTCTCTCTCGTTCATGAAGTCCCTCCCGCTCATCCCCTGAGAGCCACAGTTTCCTGACAATTGAACCGGAGAAATCAACACTCTCTATCTTGCATGCTGTAGAGGTTAATTATTGTGTCTATTTGGATACAGCTTTATCACATGATTTATACTAGCATTATAGACACTGAGCTGGAAACGTATGCATGCAAAGTATTCGACGCCAAAACATAGTTGGCTTGCATGAATGCTGTGTTCTGGTAGGGATACAGCATTGCTCATAATTGGTGGGTCGTCTCCATGTGGCGAAGCAATGTGTGCTGCCAACCACATGGTGTGTCTCACACACACTGATTCCCTGATGCTGATGGATCCAACGGCGGACATCACTGATGCATGCACGTAGTTAGGAGATTGATGAAGCCAAAGATGTACCACTGGTGAAGGAGCCGAACATCTTCTGCAGGCCCATGGAGAGCTCTTGGTAGCTTCTGTACATCTTCAGATCCACCTTACGGAGGTACGGAGCGCCGTCCATGCTGACCTTGACGAAGGCGGCCACCGGGTTGCCGGGCTTCTCACCTCCCTCCTTGCTTCCCTTCTCAGAGTGAGCAGAGAGGATGTTCTTCCTGAATGATCGAACTGGAGGCCAACCCACAACCTGTGCCCTGATGTTGACCACATATAATGATAATGATCAATCATATGCCCTGAATTTGTTGCTGTAGTTGTGCATATATATAGTAGGATTATACTGACACCCTATCTTCTGATACTTTTGACCTTTACCTTTGTAGTAGCCAACAACTCTCTTTGAGATGTAAGATCAAGAAAAAAGCAGCAACTTCTTCTATCCAAAAGGAATTGAGATGTGTGTTCTTTTTCTTGTCTCAAAACCCAAAGTTAATTGGTGAAAAAAGACTGATTACAGAAGATCTTGTTTACTGATCACAAGAGAACAAAAACTATGTATTTGTTTGATAGAATTATCAAGAGAGAGAGAGAGAAATCCATAATCTTGGAGATGGCATCTTTTCAACTATGAGAACAAAACCTTTTCAGCAAAAGACACATCAAACATTAGAGAGAATTGGGAAACATACTTGGGAGCAGGTGGCTTCTCGGGATCGCTGCCACAGAAAACACCAAGGTTCCTCTGGCTCGGCAAGCTGCCTCTCGCTTTCTCTATGATCTGTTCCTCTGCGTCCACCGGGGTCTGAAGCTTCAGCTTCAGATCGATAGTCTCAGCGAACCCCCTCTTGCAGGAGTTCTTCGCGGCCTCGGCTTCCCCGCCGCCGCCGCCGCCGGGCAACCCCAGGCGCAGCTCGGTCTCCTCCAACCCCAACGACCCACTCGCCATCCTCCGACGACGACGACTCTCTCACCCCTCCAATCTTCTTCTTCCTTGCTTCTGCAACGCTTTCACTGGAAACAGAGTAAACTAATCAGAATCGAAAGGTGGTTTTTAGAGGGGGATTTCTGCTCTCTACTTAGCGCGTATATTTGTAGAGTCGGTCGTACGCTCCAACACTTCTGAAATCGCGACACGTGCACATGTCAGCGTGTTGGATCTCGAGGGCTTTGTCGGGAAACCCAAAAAAGAGAACACGATAATCGTCTTACTATTCAAAATTTACTCGCTTGACTACCTTTCTTTTCACTGCACAATATAGTGGGCTCCACAGGCTGTCGAATCCCCTTCCGAGTAACTGAGATAGAGCCCTTTGTGACGACTATTACAAGTAATTATCAAATGGAACTGCAATGTTCAGTTTAATTATAAATAAAATAATAATATAAATATGTTTATGTGTTAAAAAATATAGCGATCAAGCATTGGATTTCAAGATATAGAGATTTTTTTTCCCTTAAACACTAAAAACATATTTTATCATTTTGGAGCCTTTTGATTTCAAACAAAAAAATTAAAAATATATTTTAATGTGTTAAATCGAATTCTAGAAATTTTATTCATAATCATAAAATTGAGGGCTCAAGATGTAGTTTGGAAGGGTCGATGAATCTTTGACACGTGCGTGATGTCGGCAGATCAAATTAGTCAAATTAATCAACGACTAATTAAACAAAAGAACTATTTACATAGCATCTCATGTAATTAGTTATTTTTAGTATCTCAATACTTATATTTTTAGTATCTCTATACTTATGAAAGTGAAACATTTAACTTTGTTTCTTTTCACGTCATCGATTCTGCTAACGAAAATACTGTATGATTTATCATTGAGCATGTGCTGACTACCTCACTTCGATTTATCACTAAGCACATGTAATAAACAAGATTAAATGTTTTACTTTCGTAAATAAAAGGATCCCAATGTAACTTTTAAAAAATATAAAGATCAAAATAATAGAAATAACTAATTATATAAATAGTTTACAATTAGCCCTAAATAAAATGATATGTCTTCGTTTAATGTTTTTGATGCATTAATATATCATTAGTTACTTCTACTTTTGAGTAAGTAAAAGAACTCTACAGTAGCTATGCAAAAGTTGGAAATGTAGCATTTTTATTGCTTTAAGCAATGGATGCAAGTGAAGGATAAACGAAGCATGCATCCACCATTTCTCTTGTCGTCATCCTGCGTAGTTATTTCGTGTGCCACATACTTTGAACACGCTATTACGAGGATTCGTTGGCTGTAGACAAGGGCACATTGGTGCTGCATTATATAAGGTTGGTACGTGGGATCACTCACCGAGGTGCATGAATTGATAGATTCTCACTAGGGGATGTATGTAGACTTAGGACAAGACAATCCTATAGTTAGATTCTATCTTTTAACTCCAAAACTTAGATGCTAACTTCAGTTGAAAGTTCTCCTCACCAAATCTTGTATGTACAATCAATTTCTGCAGTGAGTTCCTTCTTTATTACTGGTATTTCCCACTTTCTTCCTTCTTTATTGCTGCCATGGGGGGGGTGAACTGTGCAAATTGTGCAAAACTGAAGCTCGAAATAATGTGTGTAAGAGTAGTTATTGTAACATCATCATGAAGTAGAAAGGAAAAAGGAGATAACAACAAATGTAGCTACAAGTTTCATGACATTTCTTAAATGATCATAAGATAATGCAGCTTTCAGAACTTTGCTTTTCTGTAGTTGCTTTATGAGACAGCCAAATGCATCATTCACCATCCTACAGTAATGCCTTCTGTACTCTAAGTCATCCTTTCTTGTGGAGGAGTGCTGAGAAAGGTAAAGGACTGCCATGAGATCAACATCATGCTCTCTCTAGGTCAGATATATACATGGCTAGAATAGCTTAATGTTGACTGCTTCAGCTACACAGCATGCAGTTGCTTCTCCTTCTTTCTCTCTGAATCCTTTTCCCCATCATTGTGGAGTGTTGTTGTTTCTCAGTGCCAAATATATCAAACCAATCCACAAGCTTATCTTATCAAAGGCCATTATGTCCAAAACTTTTAGCATCAAATTCCTTTAATTTAAGATAACAGTATGCAACTTTCTTGCCTTCAGATGGTGTAGCATATGATTGGCAACATCATAGATCATGTGCTATTAATTGGCTTAAGACAGTCATCAAACTTTGAGATGGTATCAGAGCATATGAATAGGTGTGAGCACACTTAGCGCATATGTAATTAGCCGAGGAAGATGTTGACAAGGAAGAGAAGCGAACGAGATGAGACAATGAGTGTCATGCTGTAGTTTCTCTCCTGCAAGCAACAAGACATCACCTTCTCATTTAATATAGTGAAGCAAAGAGAACTAATGGCATAGTAAGATAGCCAAACGTAGGGTTTGGCATATGTTCTCTTTCATGTTCCAGTATGTTCAAACTCTTCTTGTATACAGTAAGACAGACATGTCAGTGTTCTCTACTATAATTTGACTCAGAACACAGTGCCTTCCCCCAATGTAGTTCTGATTCAGTGGACAATGCTACTTCTCCATCTCACCATATGAAGCAATTCCCTTTACCCAGTAAGTTCCTACAAGCAACAAAAATGGTGGCTGGCCATTGATGTTGGCTTCCCTTCTTCTCCAAACAAAGTTAGGGACGCTGGCTACGATTTCATGTAGCGTTCTTATAAGAGCCCCACCGATGACGCCGAAGGAGAACGCCCGGGCACCGGACACTCTGTGTCGACATGTCGACGTTACATTGCTTCAGCTGGAGAGGCCATGCTCTTCCCACAGGCAGCTATTGTTCGGCTTCGCTTGTCGAGATGTGGGCACTGATTGATCGTTTCTATGGCAGAGCATGGTCACACGTTGTTCCTCTTCTAAACATGCATCCTTACTTGTTACCTGCAGGAGGAAGTGCAGATTGGAACTGTGGCATGATGATTCCCGGGTTGAAACAACAAGGATATCGATCTTGGGGTTTAGTAAGATGATGATCAATTTGGTGAGGAAAAGTCAGCCTTAATTACGAATCAAGGTTTTTCTGTAGTGCAAAAGAGAGAGAGAGAGAGGAGCATAATAATAGTAATAATAATATTATTATTATTATTATTTTTCTATTATTATTTATATTATTAAAGATGATTATCGAAAAAAAAGGAGGAAAAGAAAGAGAGAGAGAGAGAGGAGCATAATAATAGTAGTAATAATAATAATAATAATAATATTATTATTATTAAAGATGCTTATCGAAATTTGTAAAAGATTTTTAAAAATAAGAAATGACAAGTTTATCCTACACTTCCACATGAGGAAGGGTATTAAGAATATAAATTAAGATCATATTTATAGATTAAATATAAATTTTAAAAAAATTTCTAATATTTATACTTCAACAATGGGTTTAGGCACTTCGAGATGAAGTGACATTGATTATAACCTTAATTTGTAAGAAATAAAACTGTGATGTGGAATAATTTAATTCCGTAATTGAAATCATAAATATCTTTTATGATCTAAGAAAAAGAGCGGATATCTTTTAGATACGATAACCAATAAAAATACCTTTGTCGTCATGAACTATCTCTATCATCGCAAAGTATCCACCATATAAATTTGCATAGGATCACTATAATTGATGAAGCAGAGACATATCAATAACCTGAGATACGAGAAAATATTTTATGATGTATCGATTCTTACAAGGCTCTCTGACGAGATCTTGTAATCTCCTAAGTTATCCTAAAGACTTTTTTTTTATTGATCAATAATTTTAATATAAATATAATTAGATATTTAATATATCTTAATCAAAATTAAATAAAATCACATAATCTAACATAATTAATGCATGTTCATGTACCCAAATAAAGAAAAAAAAAAAACTGATCGACTATCGTCCCTGCACATAAACACATTACAAACAACATCAAATTTGAATCCTCAACATGATGAATAATTGATGGAAGTTGATTGAACACCCGAATGACTCAGATCAGTGGGTAAACATCGGCAAACTCATGGGAGTGCATTAATGCAAACCAGAGGAGTGAAGCAGGATACAAAGTTCATTGATGTTATGAGTCGTCCACTAAGCTTCATGGAATGGAAGGATCGATGAAACCTGCAAGAAGAAGAAGCTGAGTACCTCCACGCTAATCTATAGCACTGTCTCCATGAATCAAGCATAGGAGAGAGAGAGAGAGAGAGAGAGAGAGAGAGAGAGAGAGAGTTAAACAGGCTTTAAACGAGCCATGTGTTTTGATCTCAAATCAAAGCAGGCTTTCGGCTAGTCATGATGATCATGAGATGACAATCATATATATATATATATATATATATATATATATATACAAAATATACTTATTATTTGTAAATTTGATTACTTTATTTTGTTAGAATTCTTCATCAAAATAGGTTTTTTGTTTCTTTTCTTTCCCCATCTATTGCATGATGCTTCAATCTTAGAAGATAAATGGAGACCTTGCATTTACAAAGATAACAAAAGAGAAAGGGGTTAAGTTAGAAAGTTGAATTTGACTTGTCCATTTTTCTAAACCATAGTTCAAATAACCAGTCTCAAGCAGAAGGTTTCTATTATCAGATTAGAGACATGAGAGAAGCACTTTGACAAAAGGAAGAACATGTAGAGGAAGAGTGAACTTTCAGTATGTTGATATTACATGGTATTTCTTAATTACTATATATTCATGTTATAGAAGATCATATCTATAGTGCTTTTATATATTTTTTTTCTCAACCAGTCAATAAATACACTGCACAAGAAAAGCAAAGAGTGCAGATGGCAAGATGGCCAGTAGGCTCCAGTTCAAACATGAAATGAAGTTGAAAGGTGAGGAAAAGATCTCTATCCATTAGATCAGCAAGCCACACCCCAATAAAGCACAAACCACTAAGGAGACAAGCACCACTTAACAGCAAGAATGAGTGCATGATAGAAAAATATAACATCGCGATCATTATCATCAATGATCATGTCAAACTTGCTTTCCATTTCTATGAAAAGTGTGTAAATCCACACTCATCAAGCATGCTGCCCACTACACTACAATACAGCAATCCCCACCCAAAAGTAATAAGCTTAGTGCATTACAGTACCCGACCAAACAATTAAGAGCAAGTGAGCACTTTGGCAGCTAACCTCTCTCACTTAGAGATACATTGAGATATTTAGGTAATCGAGTAGAATCTTTACCGTGGGATTGTAATAATAACACCTTCATCAAAAGTAGGGGAAAGTAAACAGGAGAATGACATCATCTGGCACTTGCGCGACACACAGGACCTTTTAGGTCACATCCAACATGCCGTTGAAGGTCGGAGAGTGCTGGTTTCTACATACTAATGGAGACACGTATTTGCTGTCGCTATAGAGTTCTTGTTGATTGCTCGGTCCTATGAAGGGGTATTTGGTTCAGGCTTGACTGTCTTGGATTCAGACTGGTGATGTGTGTCAAGGATTGCCATGGCAAGTGAAATTGGCATCATGCAGAGGGATTTGGATTGAAGGAATTGCATTGCAGCTCCAATATCTTCTTCCATAAGTTTGGCAACTTGCCGTTCTGTGCCATCTGTTGACCACTTCTCCCAAATATGCTGTGTGCTCCCGCCCTCGCTAGTTTCCCCCTTCACAAGTATATAATGCAACCAGGTCAAACTATTTATAAGACAGTTTAATCGGACACCCACCTACATAAAGTATCTTCTATAAAATTGTGCATGATCATCGTGAATATGTAGAAAATGTCAACAGGCATGTAGAATATATGATGGGATGAGAACATGATAATTGGGAAATGCTTTGCCACTTTACAATTGTAGAAAACATCATCCTATGCTCGCAGGGTCTAGGGTTTAAAGATATGGAACGGTGTGATGGGCTGAAAATTTGGAAGTCAACATTCCAACTGACTGTGTGTACTCCATAAGTAAACTAAAAAGGCTTTTATTTAAACATAAATAATGCTTCAGATATCAGCAGAATGCTTGGGGTTAAACTCTCTATTAAGGTTTAATGACATAAAATCTACCAGAGTCAAAGAAAAACGAAATCATTCCATATTCTCAAGTTTAATTATCAATCATAGCAGCAAGCAATTCTTTACATCAACTCCTAAACTCCTCACGTTTGCATCTATTAGTTCCTTGTATAATAAAACCACACAGCCGTGCTCCCTATTCACATGAGCTCAAGCCACATGATAAAAAAAGGTTTGGCCTCAACTCAATCTATTTTCTCAATTTCAGGCATGCCTATGAGCCTTTTTATGCAATGCCTCAATTTGTGGCACATTATGGCAAAAGCACCATCAAGAGCAATACATTGTTCCCAATTATCTCTGGTCAACTACATGAAGTTTTTTCCAAAATATAGCTCCCGTTAAGGAAAGTGTCACTGGATGATCAAAAGGCATCATCTTCCCTATATATCTGGCCCCCTTTTTTGTTATTCCAGGCTTCCACTAATTGAACTGATTCACTTTACCTTAACATAGCCTATGCATTATTAGTTCTTCCATGGAGCAAACCACTTTAGATGGTATTCTTTATTATATCTTTAATTAGTACAACCAGTACCTTTCTTTCTACTCCACCTTTCAACTAATGTCCATGGGATGTTGACATTGTTTTCTTCTAACTTTCTTATTCCTTTTAACTTTCAATATGTTCTTAAATAATAACCTGTTTTCACATTTAAAGTCCACCAATTAGTTCAAAATTTTCCTGTTACCCTTTGTTTCCTCTTCAAATTTCAAACACATACATCTAATACCAGCATTTATGTGACTTAGTCAAGTTTTTTCCTAAGCACAAACTATACATTCAATTATCCTGTGCAACAATAAAAGATATTAGCGCTAAAATCTGCAGTCGTTTACCTTCAGATTTTTTTCAAAAAAATTCGATCCATGAGTTAGCTACCTATGCACATGCAATATATTATATAGGACATGATTTCAGCTACTACTTACCTATTTGAACTAGGAATCAACAGCAGATAAAGAAAATACACAGAAACAACTTACATGTATATTAAGAGTGACCATAGTAGTCCCTAAAAACAATGATTTTATCCACCAAATGGAGTTTTAAGCTTACCTCAACTGACACTGGAATATCAGCTACCAGCTGGGCAACAGCACCTGCACCACCTAATCTGCTCATGCTTAGGACCTGCCATTAGTGAATAAAAACAATAAAGATCCACTTTCAAGAAAGATTTACTAAAGAAACGCAAAATCTGAAAAGAAACACTTAGTTAACTTCTCAGATCTCAGAATATGCTCTTATTTGAATTACTGAATGTAAGGTTCAAGGAAAGACATACATCGTGTGGCTTGGGAGAAATACAAATAAGAAAAAGATCTAGACAAAAACAATAATAGCACAAAACAGAAGTTTTGAGCCTCAAAGCAATTCTTAAATTTACCAAAAATCAGGTAAACTTCACATTTATTCCACCTGGCTTGGGTATTTTTCATCAACCCTCAAAAACTGATGCAGATGGAGTATCTGAAATTAATACAGCAGATCTAGGCTAGAGTTTACAATAAATCCTCTTTTATGTTGCTTCAAAATCATAAAAATTAACTTTTAAGTATGTGTTAGTCTAGAATAATATGCTATCCACTGCAGATGGCTGTTTTTTGGAACAGAAATAGAGGTTCTGACTCATTCAAGCTATCACTAACTTCACTTCTGATTAATTTACTATAGTTGCAAGCTATAGTCACTCAAACAAAACAAGATGGTAATATTATTCAGTTAACATATAATGATCCTTTAATGTGGACTCAAGAATAATGACCAAGATATATAGATGTTTGACACAGTTAAAACATATATAGTCTATAAGAAGCTCAAGAGAGAGAGAGAGAGAGAGAGAGAGAGAGATACTTACTGATAAGAAAAAGTATTTAAGGCAAATGTATTGTTTTACAAGGAAGCCAGCAAAAACAAGCTAAGGTTACAGCTTTAGACTTTGTCACCATCAAGTCATGAGACTTAAGATCTCCTATAATATGTTGGTTATAAATTAACAGCAATGGCGTATCTTTTCAAAATATTCCTCACTTAGCATCTTGGATGAAATGCTAATCACATTATTACAAAATTGACTAAATGCCATTAAATTTTAATATAAGGGTGAAGCAACTGGAACAGTAAGAGTACATCAAATTTTGTTATGTTTAATGTTTTGAAATCGTAGCAGGTAAAAACTGTTTAACACATAAATCTAGCAGAAAAGAGACTAAAGATATAACTATAAGCATCATTGTTGTTTCTAATAAACTATATATCATAAATATTGCTCATTCAAATCAGATAACAATTACCTTCACTTGCAGCCTCAAAAACTTTACATAGTCTAGAATCTCATCAAGCATGGCTGCTCTATCAGTCTGCATATGTAAAATAAAACTATTGGTACATAGACAAGATAAAAATGTTTAGTCACTGTCAATACTTTTAACAAACAGGTAATTAATCGAATTTAGAGAGAAATATTCTACATTTATCTCTGGAGATTCACCAGTCTTATTAGTCTGGTAACTAAATGGCAAGAATACCATCCTTAAAGAATGTAGTTCATTTAACTAACATGTATTCAGAGTTTTTTTACCCTGTTACTGCATAACTTGGATCTGCAATCAGCAGATATTTCTCTTCACTTCATGCAAAATATAAAACTGTAATCCCAACAAAGCAACTCAGGGTCAACAATAAAAGAACCAATTAAGTTACGGTCACAATAAGACCAGACAAAAATGTTCTTCCAAATACCAGGCAGACAGGTATATGCTGACTCACATTTGCTGGTCTACCTACGGACAGATATCAGACCATATAGCTAGCTACCAATCAGTTCTTTTATTTATTTTTCAGTTATGCCGGACAGTACTGGTCATTGTGCCACCTGGTATACCAGTACCATATTGGTGGGACAGGGTGACATAACCAGTATCAATCACCCGGTATACAACCACCTGGTTGCATAGTTCACATATGCTGTTCTCTAAAATTTTCTCAACTCCCCAACATATAACTAGAATAATGAAAAACCAATCATTATTTTACTTTATGAACACTGGAAATGAATCACCAAGGGTTGGTAACAAAGCTAAGTTCTTCTCAAGGGAACCAAATCAGATTTCAATACAACAAAGATAATTCCTCTAAACATGCACAGAAACAAATAGTTACAATTCTACGTGCTTTGTATTTTTATAATAACATAATATGCAAGATACTGACCTTATTAGTGTTGGGGACCAATTCCTGCAAAGCCCTTAGTCTTTCTGCTATTCTTTCTCTCCGTTGCTGCAACCACAAAAGGCCTGTTCAAAATGCCTTCATGCAATATGAAAATAAAAAATGGACAAAATGACAAGATATAACTAGATCATAAACACTTTATGGCTTGATATTGCTGTTCTTGTTGAGTGTACTTAAAAAAAAAATCCAGTTGGAATATAAAAGATGATTGACCAATGCTGATCCACTTATTTGCACATTTTCTGACAGTATGCATCAAAAAATTTCCACACAGTGTAGATCAATATTAATAAAATGCTGTTGTTCTCTAATGAAGAATGATTTCATATCCCACAACAAGAAAAAGTACAAGAGAAAAAGTAATATTTGGATCCTGGTGCTTAACAAGTCAATTGATACTTCAGGTCATGCTAGAAAAACAGCACAAAAGATCATACCTTGCCTAAGCAATTAAAGATTTAGTGCAGATTGCAGGTCTGAATAAGCAAGGGCTAGAAAACCCATTTGAGTATAGATTTGACTCCCCAAATCCCATAGTCAGATTAAAAAATAGTCAATTGAATAACTCACTGACAGAATGACAAAATGGAGATCATTGTAAAGTTTTCCTTCTGAGATTCACTAAAAAGAATTAATTTCAATATAGGAGAGATGTTGATGCAGAAAAAATGGGGAGCTGCAAAAAAGGTACCAGACAGCCAAACATTACCCGCTCTGCAATGCTATGAGGATCTGTGGCTTGGCCACGCCTGGCTCGCACCTTTGGTCGTGGGGCTGGAGGCTGTGGCACTGTAGTGACTCCACCTTGTTTCACTTGTCCATGGAAAGCCTGTAAAACAATTGATAGAAAGAACTCGCAAAAGGCATATATTACCATGTCAAACATATGAACTTTCCAAAGAATGTCACATATGATAAGCCTCTAGCCATGCACCGCATGAGAGAAGAGTGTGTCAAAGCAAGCGCATGAATTGATACGCTCCTACTGGACGAATAGTATAAGTTCCTCTTCTCTTTTTCTTTACCCTTTGGTACTAGAGTACAAAGAAGAATACACAGCTCACCAGTTAGCATCTTTGAAATGAGAGTTCACTCCAGTAAAATGTTCTTTTTTTTTCATATTAGCCATTCACACTTGAAATTGAAGAGAGAAAATATCTTCAAAAGTTTCATCCTCCAACACAATTGACAATCGCAACAAATTAACAGTAATATACTAAAACCTATATTGTTTTGTCCTTATCGATTTTTAATCTAGAAAACCCAACTATACATCAATTGGTAAATTTATGTTTCCATAATGATAGTCAATTTAAACCTTAACATAACACCTTCAAAACTTGAAGTCACCACCACCAACACAAAGGAAAGATAAAAGACTCCGGATGGGCGTCTTTCATGTTTGAGCAGATGACACCTTCATCGAACAAGATTCTTCCTAAATGAGCGTTATGCTGACACAACTACCACTTAAATCGTTTCCAGAAAACACAATTTTTTCGTTCCATTAGCAACCCAATGGCATAAAAGAACCACTTTTTCAAGTATTCAATGAGTGACATTCAAGAATTTAAATTTCCAACCAAATCAGAAATAGAATAAACAAAATCTAAGGTTTCTAGAAGCCAACGCACCTGCGGAGGAGGATTAGACCGGATTTGATGAGGATGGATGTGCCCAAAGCCCGGCGGGAACAATCCCGCCAACTGCATCGAATCCCTCTCCTGCTCCACAGCCACACCCAGTGAGCTTCCCAACTCAAATTCACCCCCAACACCAGACTGCCAATTGGGAAACGAAGGCGCAGGATTCTACACACCCAACATTAAGGAGAAATCCAACGGGAAAACAAGACGAAACAAAAGAGACGATGCGCTCACCATCTTCGTGTTCTGCCCCTCGAAGAGCCGCTTCCCGGTCGAGGACCCCTGTTCCAGGCTCAGCCCCAGGGGGAACGCCCCGCCCCCGCGGGCGGCGACGGAGGACCCATCGCCGGAGCTCCGATGGAGGGCCATCCCGGCTGCCAGCGAGGCGTCATCCCCACCGCCAAAGGACGAGGGCATGGAGAGGATTTGCTCCAAGAAATCGTCGCCTAGGCCCTCCGACGGGGGCGGGGGCGGGTGGCTCGCCATGACGGCGGCGTCAGCGGCCGGGAGGTTTGGATCGAGGCGAACGCTGCACGAAGCGGGCGGCGGCTTCGGGCGCCGACGACTCAAAGCGCATCCAAAGGGGCCGAGGAAGAGGAAGAGGAAGTGGAACCGTGTGATGTAGGTGGTGAAACAGAGTGCTTGTTTATATACATATATAGAGAAAGGAAAAGACAGGCAGCGAAAAGGATGTGAAGAGGGAAAAAAAGAAGCTTTCTTTAGAAAGAGGGAGAGAGAGAGAGAGAGAGAGAGAGAGAGAGAGAGAGAGAGAGAGAAATATTTCTCTTTTAAAAAGAAATTGATATTTAATTCTTTTTATTGTCAGTACAAAACAAGATTATGTCTAATAATTTAATGACAATAATGATGAAATAAATGTGAGCTTATATTATCAATCACCATTTTTAATCGCCGTCCGTAGGGCTAATGCACGAATCTTGAAGCTTGGCTTGGCTGGTTCTAACCCCGTCGGCATCTTTAAGTCCGCTCGAGGAGTGGCGCTCGCGATGGAAGGAGCGAGGAGAGAGAGAGATGTCGTCGGTCGGGACGTCGTCGAGGGGGCTGTTGGAGATCGGCAAGTTCGCTCTGTACGTGACGGTACCCGTCGTTGCCACCTATTGCTTCGCCACAGACTCCAAGACCCTCCACAAGCTCATGGCCTTCGTACGCTCTTACCCCGTCTCCTGCTGCCTCTCTCCCCGTTTTTAGATATTTGGCTGATTATGAGTAGTGAGGGGATATATGGAAACTCTTGCTTGTGATCTCTTTCTGCCAATTTGGTTCCTGATTACTTGATTTTGTGTGTGTTTGCTTTTCCTCTCGACATGAAACATTTAGGGCTTTAGGTTTTCTCTCTTAATTTCGCCTTCCAATCGTTTATGAAACGACTTGGATACACGAAAAAAAATTATTTTTGTGAATGCTGCCTCGGTACTTTGATTTTGCTTGTTTGTATTCATTTTTGCTCTCAATTTCCTATTCGGAAGTATCAAATGGAAAAAAAGACGGTTGTTCATGAGTGTTAAATTCTCCTTTTGAAAAGTACAAGAAAGAGTGGACTTTGAGAACAATAAATAAATATCAAACATGAGTTATATGCCAATGGGAATCACAGTAACTGGAAGTGGCTACGAAGGATCAGTGGTTATCGAGCATGTGGAACAGTACACTAGCATACAATTCTTTCTGAACGATTTATTGCGACTTCTGGTCAAGACCGATGCAGAAATTGTCCCTGGCCATGAAATTGAATGAACTTTTTTCGGCCTTGGCTATCCTAATTTGAAAATTAATTGGGATATGCATCAAGATTCATGGCACCTTTTGGTTCCAAGGTGTAAACATTCTAAACAAATTTGACTGGTGGCCCCAGTCTGTTCAACCTTTTCCAGGTCAATCAAGCTAGACACCTATCCATTCTAGCTTACAACCTTCAGTTGCTCTACGGGGAACAAAAGTTGAATATTCTCATGGGTGAACAAATAAGCTTATTGAAGGTCTGAGATCGGAGATTTTGTGAGGTAAAGACTAATGCTACATGACAATTCTCACCTATCTTTTGTTCTTTGATTAGTTGTGGTTTAAGGTTTCACAATATTGTTAAATGTGAATGTGTTGATGAGTGACTGTCGATCTTCTTGTATTGTTCATCATATTAACCGGATAATGTGGCTTATTCTCTATTCATACACAACAGGTTTATGTGATGAAGAATCATTTTTTTAAATGCAAATTTCTTAAACATTTTTCTGCACTTTAGATTGTGTACCTAATCATTCCAAATCCAGAATTTACTCTGCCATCATAGATGGCACTTGGACTCATGTACCCATTTTCAATACATTTCTTTCTTCTGGCCTTTTCAATGATATAAACAAATTCTTTCTCCTGTTCTTGTGGTACTTCATCATCTCAGTGATGCTTGGTTTGAGTAGTGAGGATTTTCTGACTAAATCATACAATGTGTGAGAGTTAATTTTTTTTCCCGCTTATTAAATTACAAAGTTTCAATGAAAAATAAATGGAAGGGCAGTGAATATCAACAGTTAATCATCAGTTAGATTGTGAATTAATTTGCATTTGCACCATATCATTTAATTCATGTGTTTAATTTTTTGATAATGAGACAGTGGTCTGTTAGTGTGTCTCATCTTCTTGAACCAAATATATATCTCAAGTCAAATGGCAGCAAGATTTTGTGGCTTGTACAAATCTTGGTATCAACCAATATCAGCTACTTGGTTGTCTTGAATGCCTTGGATGAGTCCTGAATCATCACCCATTTGATATTTAGATAGTCATGTGTCTTACTTTTGATCAAGCACCACTTATTCTTGGTTAAAACCCATAGCATATTTGCTAGAATAGTTAAAGGATGCAACTGCTGAAGTCATTACTGTATCCATTATCTAAGAAATAGGAGAACAACCATTTTGATAATTGTTGATTTAATGGAGATCCCATACGTTTTGTTTCTTTCTTGCTATTTACCTCTGCTGCATTTGTGCATCAATAAACTTATTTCTCCTGAACTTTGTTACTTGAGATAATTCCCAATCCGATGGCCATAATTGTTTGACCTGTTAAAGCAAGAGGCATTTTGAACTATTCGGGTAGCTTTTAGAATGTTTAATACTTACTGCATTTTGACAAAAGTACGAATATATTGGCAAAACTAAGTAGTGTATAGCTTATTTTATAAACTTATTGCAGAAAACATGAGATTAGTCTGGCTACTTGGTTAAACTTCTTGATCCGATTACCATTCCAGTCATTTTGATAGTGGTTCTCTTTTTGTTTTGTGAACTCAGGAGAAATTCTCTATTTAACCACAACAGAAAGTGTTACTAATAATGAGCTTTATGCAGCGTTCTTATGTAGTTTATCCGCCCGAGGGTCCTCGCCCTCCTTCACCAGAGGAACTCAGGGAGATGGCCCGACAAGTTGCTCGCAAGAACAACAACCAATGAATAATTCACAGTGCAAGTTTAAGGTAACAAGAACTTCTGGTGTTGCTAAGTTACTACGACACTGATCATTGAGATATTTTTGTTGCTTGGTGCTGTGGTAGGTGTTTGCTGGCAAAAGAATGATGTTATTTGCTGGTTAATTTCAGTCTTGAAGCTGGCAATAAGTTATGTTAAGAAAGAAATTACCTTCAAATCTCAACATTTAGCTTGTTTTATCTTGATGCTTGTCTGTAATTTCATATAATTTCCTACAATCCACCGATATCCAAAATAAATGAATTAATTTTGTTTTCTTTGGGTTGCATTGTTAACATGTGGTCATAGTTTGCTATGACGGGAAAAGAATCCGAAGACAGAAAACACCCAAACAGGAAATTGTCATAGAATTGGAAGGTTTAGGATATCATAGAAACTATAATTTGATCGTAAATGCTCTGACTCTCCAATTGCTTCTGATAGATGATTATGTTAGACTTATGCTTGCATTAACAGGGACTTGAATGAATAATGTTTAAGGAATATCCACATCCTTTTCTTTTCTTTTTTTCTTTTGAGCTTTTCTACAGGTCTCATTTTGCGGCTTTCTTATTTTTTAGAACTTGAAGGCTGCTAATTAAAGATTGCCTTTCAAGCATATGCTGCGAGCTATACCTCCTCCAATTGTGGTTGAAGTTCTCTTTTGAGACATACAGTTCATAGGCCATATGTCATAAGTTTTATGTAATAAAAGGTGATTTATATAAAAGTAAATTGCAATTAGAGTTTGTTTTCATTTCACTTGGCTGTGGATTACTGGAAGTGCATGTACAGTGGAAATCAAGATCTTCTCATCTGTCATTCAACCCCTTTGAAAATGGAAAATGACAGGATCTAGAAATCATCTGTTAGTCAACCCCATGCTCTGTAAAATAGAGAGATCACGATTCAGTCGTGGCATTAGAATCGGGAGATGAGATAGATGCTTTGTTTCTGGATGTTGAAGGTTCCAAGGAGGACAAGTCTGATATGGCGACTGTGGGATGGGTGTGGATAAGAACTCTGACTTCCTTGTCCATACTTGGATCAGGCTTCCAAAATGTCAACCCGTGGACTGGTTGTTAGATTTCGACTATGAGAGATGAGTCTCAGGGCATGAGTTGATTCAAGATGTTACACGCTCGGATCCGTCGAGTAGACGCTGTGTTTCCCAACCACAGCACAGGGTCAACGGTGCCTCAACCAATCACGTATGACTGTCGTGGGAAATCCTTAATCAGTGGCATGACACAGGCTCGAAAGTCAACCCGGATTCGGATCTGTGGGCATATTGTATCCGACCCGATAACATCCCTATCAAGTTTGGCGCACACAGTCTGTCTGTCCTTCACAAGTCATCATCGAGAAAGCAAACTATTGCAATGGTGGAATCGTCACGAAGCCAAAAATTGATCCCACAAGCTTTGCCGGCTGCATAATCTATTCGACATTTTAAATGATCGATGATTTTGTTTCTACTCCTCTAAGAATAATTTAATGTCATCAGCATAATATAATGGATCACATGCAAGTCTCAAGCATATTTATGCAATAAAATTGGATATCGGGTCCGGATCCGCGAGGATCCGAATCCGACTAAGCACACGAAGTGGTCGCCTATAAGTAGTGACCCCGTGACATGGTCGCAGCCAGGAATCTAATGGCTTCCTTCGCTGTCTTCTCTCTCTTCTTCCTCCTCCTCCAAGCTCTCCTCTTACTGCCATCTTCCGCCGCTTCGAGCTCCAACCTCTTCAGGGAGTACATCGGTGCCCTATTCAACGGCGTCCGCTTCTCCGACGTCCCCGTCGACCCCGGCGTACAGTTCCACTTCATCCTCGCCTTCGCCATCGACTACACCTCCGTCGGCTCCCCCTCCCCCACCAATGGCAAGTTCAACATCTTCTGGGACAGCCAGAACCTGACCCCCGCGCGTGCCGCCGCCATCAAGAGCAGCCACCCGAACGTGCGCCTCGCGGTCAGCCTCGGTGGCGACACCGTCAGCGGCCGCTTCGCCAACTTCACCCCTTCCTCTATCGACTCCTGGGTCGACAACGCCGTCGCTTCCCTCACCGGCATCATCAAGCAGTACCACCTGGACGGCATCGACGTCGACTACGAGCACTTCGAGGCCGACCCCGACACCTTCGCGGAGTGCGTAGGGCGGCTGGTGACGAGGCTGAAGCGGAGCGGAGTCATATCCTTCGCCTCCATCGCGCCCTTCGACGACGATGACGTGCAGCGGCATTACTTGGCTCTGTGGAAGAAGTATGGGCAGGTCATCGACTACGTCAACTTCCAGTTCTATGCGTATGACGCGAGGACGACGGTGTCTCAGTTTCTGAGCCACTTCGATCAGCAGAAGTCCAACTACAGGGGAGGAAGAATCCTCGCAAGTATCTCAACTGAGAAGAACCCCGGCGGTCTGTCACCGCAGAATGGATTCTTCAGGGCATGTAGAACTCTCAAGAATCAAGACAAGCTCGGTGGCATCTTCATCTGGGCTGCAGACTCTTCCAAGAGCGATGGTTTCAGGTACGAGAAGCAGGCGCAGAGCCTGTTGTCAGTCTCCAGTTGATCGAACCTCCATGATCTGTGGTTGTAGTGCTTGTGTTCTTGGTGTTCTTCACCAGAATAATTCTTCACTTCATCAGTCGAGTGGCAACTCTGTATCTTTACTACAATAATGAAATCACCCGTTGGTTTGGTTCGTCTAAAAGCAAGAATCAGAATGCGAACAAAAATTCCAATTTGTTTTCCTTGATAGCGACATGTGAAGAACATAATGGTGTAGCATTTAGAACATGCATATGATCCATACAAAACGTTGACCTTCTCGCATGAGACTTTTGATGGTCTCGGGTTATCAATGGCAGTAAGCTCTTCAGATAAGTTTTTGATGGATAGATATGTCCATCAAAGACAGGGATCTGTCTCAAGGCAACATTGCTTTCAGTTCTGACTATTTCATCTTATTAGTCATCAATCTCCAACCACTTCTATTGATATTTTGATGCTTATAATCTGCACACCTAACATTCATCTCAGCTGACTCTTTACCATCATTGATCAAGACAAAAGAAGTTCCAAACTGCAGCTAAAATACTCAGAGAGAGAGAGAGAGAGGTTATTGAGTGGAAAATCACAATAAATTTTATCCAAAATGAATATTTTTTTTGGCAGCAATCTGAAACATCCACTAAAAAACCTGCAGTGTGATAGAACCAGTTTTAGGATAGGATAAAGTGGCTTATGATCAGAAGATTCTACAGATATCTATTAAACAGAACCAATAAATATTATTGAGTAACATGATGATATTTGTTAGATTGAAGATGAATCTTCAACTGAGTTAATCCAAATATTACTGAAGAATTTTTTTATTGACTAATATATGCATGCTTTTAGGACATAGGATTATTATTAGGTGTTTGTGGGCTATATATTTCTTTTTTCTTTCTTCTTAACTCCCCAGTGGATCTTGTAATTAGAGGTTGTTAGTTTGGCAAGTCCCAACGGAAAAATCAGGCTTGTTATCTCCTGTTGGAGCTATAAATAAAGGTCTGGGCTTTAAAGTCAGATGCACCACAAGTGACACCACAAGAAAAACCTAAGTGTTTAATTTGGGTTTAAGTCCACACTCAGTTAAATAGTTTGGGCTTACAGTTTGGGTTTTTCTTGTTTAGTATTTTCGGGTGTTTTATGGCCTAGGAACATCTTCCTAAGGCATTTGTAATTGTCCCTTTTATAGTAGTGATTTGCTCCTCTTTCGTCCGTGGATGTAGGTCAAGGTTAATTGACCGAACCAAGTAAATCTGGTGTTCTTGTCGCTTTTATCTTTCCGCTTTATTGTCTTTGTTGGGTTGCCAAAATTATCCTTTGGTAAATTTCCTAGGGCTAGCTCTAATAAACTGGTATCAGAGCCTGGTTTCAGGATCTTTTGGCAACGATGACAATAACAAAGATCGTTGTCGAGAAATTCGATAGAAATGTCAACTTCAGCTTGTGGCAACTCAAGATGGAGGCCATTCTAGTTCAAGACGGAGTTGATTTGGTACTACAGGGAGTCGAGAGTATTCCAGATGATATGTCAAAAGAAGAGCTTGTAGGTATGGATAAGAAGGTCCGATCAAGCATCATTTTAAATCTCTCTGATGAGGTTTTACAGGAGGTAGCTACGGAGACTACGGCTAAGAGCATATGGGACAAGCTTAAAGACTTGTACATGAAGAGGACAGTGGAGAATCGTCTCTACTTGAAGCAGAGTCTGTATATGCTTCGGATGATTGAAGGTACATCTATACTCTCACATCTTGATAAATTTGATTCCTTGATTATAGATTTGGAGAATATAGATGCAAAAATTGATGACGAGGATAAGGCCCTATTACTCTTGTGTTCTCTTCCCCAATCTTTTAAGCATTTCCGTGATACTTTGATTTATGGAAAAGAAACAGTTTCGTATCAAGAAATTAAATCTGCACTGAAATCTAAGGAGCAGATAGACAGAAATATCACTGGGAAAAGTAGAGAGAATCAGGCTGAGGGTCTGGTTGTCAGGGGTAGAATGGATAAAAGAGAATTTAACAGTAGTAGATCTAAATCTAGATCTAAATCCAGACATAGAAATTTGGAATGTAGATATTGTCATAAAATGGGGCACATTAAGGCTGATTGCTTTAAATTGAAAAACAAATTAAAGTAAAAAGGAAAACTTGTTGAGAAAACTACTGAGTCCGCTGAAGCTAGTGTAGCATCTGATGAGAATATTGAAAATATTTTATTTGCTATTGATGACAGGACGATGTCTAAAAATGAATAGATTTTAGATTCAGGTTGTTCTTATCACATGTGTCCCAATAGGGATTTGTTTTCCACATATGAATCTTGTAATGGTGAAATTGTTTTGATGGGCAATAATGCCGCGTGTGATGTTATTGGTAGAGGAACAATCCGAATTAAAATGTATGATGGTATTGTGAGGACGCTCACTAATGTTAGACATGTTCCTGATTTAAAAAAGAATCTCATCTCTTTAGGCACCCTAGAGGCTCTTGGGTGTAAATACACGGCTGAAGGTGGAGTTATGAAAGTTTCTAGAAGTGCCCTTATTATTATAAAAGCTTGTAGGTCTGGTAGCTTATATATTTTGCAGGGAACTACTATCACAGGCTTGGTTGCAGTGTCGTCATCATCATTGTCTGATTCTGACATCACCAAATTATGGCATATGTGTTTGGGTCATATGAGCGAAAAAGGTTTGAGCATATTGAGCAAAAGAGGTCTACTTTGCGGACAGAGTACTGGGTCACTGGACTTTTGTGAACACTGCATTTTTGGAAAGCAGAAAAGAGTCAGCTTCACTTCTCCGGCAGTTCACAAAACGAAAGGTACTCTTGACTATATTCATTCAGACCTTTGGGGCCCAACTCATGTTCAGTCTAAGGGTGGTATTAGGTATATGTTGACTTTCATTGACGATTATTCCAAGAAAGTTTTGGGTTTATTTTTTGAAGCATAAAAATAATATTTTTTTAACCTTTAAACAATGGAAGGCTTTGATTGAGAAGCAAACAAGTAAACAGATTAAGCGGCTTCGAACAGATAATGGCATGGAATTTTGTGAAGGTGACTTTGAAGAATTATGTAAAAATGAAGGAATCGTTCGACATCGCACTGTTAGGATGACGCCTCAGCAAAATGGTGTGGCCAAATGTATGAATAGAACACTCTTGGAGAGAGCAAGGTGTATGATCTCAAATGCAGGGTTGACAAAGAACTTTTGGGCAGAGGCAATTAATATGGCCTGTTACGTTATCAACCGCGCTCCTTCTGCAGCACTTAACTTTAAAACTCCAGAGGAAGTTTAGTCAGGTACTCCTGCTGATTACTTTGATTTAAAAATTTTTGGGTGTCCAGCATACATGCATGTAAATGAAGGAAAATTAGAGCCTCGAGCTAAAAAATACATTTTCCTTGGGTATGCTTCTAGGGTGAAAGGATACAGATTATGGTGTTCTGATCCCAAATCCCCAAAATTTGTAATCAGTAGAGATGTTACTTTTGATGAATTGTTTATGTTATCTTCCAAAGAGGATTCTACTAGTTGTACAAATGATAGTGCGCAGAAGCAGGTGGAGCTTGAGATTGGTAGTTCAGATTCCTTTAAGTCGAACTCTTCTACTCAAAGAATGCTAGTAGGTGGTCCCGAGTCTACTGACGCAGATGATCCAGAGGAAGAGCAATATTCCATAGCCAAGGATAGACCACGGAGAGATATTCGATCACTACAAAGATATGCAAATTTGGTTGCATATGCTTTATCTGTTGCAGAAGAGACAAGTGAAGTTGTTGAGCTTACTTCCTACTCAGATGCAGTTTCTTGTGATAATTCCGCTAAGTGATTGATTGCGATGAATGAAGAAATTGAGTCTCTCCATCGGAATGGAACTTGGGATCTTGTGAAGCCGCCTTCGGGTAAGAAAATTGTTGGATGCAAATGGGATACTATTGCTAAGGGAAAGGTCCTTCTTCAGAAAATTTATATGAAGGACAATCCAACTGATATGCTTACGAAGCCTCTTCCGATTTACAAGTTTAAGCAGTACTTGGACTTGTTGGTGTTCATTGTTGGTGATTGCCCGTTGGGGCTGTTATGAAGAAGGTGGAGCAAGTTTTGTTGGGACATGTCAAGGTGGAGATTTATTAGTTTGGCAAGTCCTATAGTCCCACATCGAAAAAATCAGGCTTGTTATCTCCTGTTAGAGCTATAAATAAGGGTATGAGCTTTGGAATCAGATGCACCACAAGTGGCACCACAAGAAAAACCTAAGTGTTTACTTTGGGTTTAAGTCCATACTCAGTTAAATAGTTTAGGCTTACAGTTTGAGTTTTTCTTGTTTAGTATTTTTGGGTGTTTTATGGCCTAGGAATATCTTCCTAAGGCATTTGTAATTATCCCTTTTATAGTAATGATTTGCTCTTCTTTCGTCCGTAGATGTAGGTCAAGGTTAATTGACCGAACCACGTAAATCTGGTGTTTTTGTCGCTTTTATCTTTCCGCTTTATTGTGTTGCCAAAATTATCCTTTGGTAAATTTCCCGGGGCTAACTCGAGGTGTCTTCTAACTCTCCTACCTTCTTCTTCGGCTAGTAAGTATGATAATTTCTGATCTAAAACTACATAACAAACAGTAAACTCAAGCATTATAATCTGAACAACAATTAGCTGTATCAAAGTAATGCAGAAAGGTATAGCAGTGAGAGTGATGGAACAATTTTCTGAGACACATGTAAAAACTCAGGGTTAGGGCCACTGAATCATAGCCTCTGTTCATAAGAAGAATGAGCATATATATATGATTAAGGACATCTTCTGCCATGAGTCTCAACTTGTATGTCTTGAAGTCTTGTACCTTTTGCCTGGAGGTCACTTTGTGGAATGGGTTTTCATCTATCAAATCATTTTGTGGTCATTCATGTAGATAACACTATGATCAGTTCTGAGATGCTTAAAGCTGCAAAGATTAATGGCATCAAGAGACTTAAATCTCCTTTTGGTTCCTGCATTGATTTCATGACTAGCTTGGTGAGGATATATAGAACTGAGCCATAACCCACATCAAGTTTTAGTCTTAGCTTTCAGGGAATCTCATCTAATAGAATGATTTCATAGATTTAGACCATCTTCCACAGGAAAATACATAGTTGCAATAGAATG